TCTGTTCTGTTCTGTCAAGTTTTGAATATCAACAGCTTCTCTGGGTAACCTCTTCCAACATTTGACTCTCTTTATGATAAAAAATTCTCCTCACATGCAATCAGAATTGAGTCTATTTTTTCTTATCCTTTCACTGTGCACCTCTGAGAAGATCCTGTCTCCATTTTCTGTATTCCCTTTAGTTACCTGTGAACAGCTACAAGACCTCCTTTAGTCTTCTGCTCCTCGTGATGATTAATCCTGGGTCTTTCAGTCTCTCCTTGTATGTCATGTTCTCCATGTTTCCTGACCATTTTGGTAGCCTTCCTCTGGACTTACGCCAGTCTGCCAATGTCTGTCTTGTACTGGGGAAACTCAAATGCTACAAATACTTTAGTGCCAAATAGGGAGAAAGAATCACTTTTCTAGAACTGCTGTCTATATTCCTGCTAAGACAGCCTAGGATATGATTGCTGTCTTTGCCACAAGGACAGGTGGGTGGGTCGTACTCAACTTGTCCACCAAGACCCTGAGGTTATTTATTTTCCATCAAATTTCTTTCTAGGAAGTGAGCTGCCAGCCTAAAGTGTTCCTTGGGACTATTCTGTCCCAGTGCAACACTTTACTACTACCTTTCTTTCACAAGTTCCCTGTCAATTCATCATCACCAGCCTGTTCAGGTTCCTCTGGAGAGCAGTTCTGTCCTTCAGTGCATTAGCTGCTCTCTCCAACTTGGTATCATCCATACACTTTCTGGGAACAGATTTCATTCCATCATCCAGGTCGTTAATAAGGCACAAAACAACAGAGGATCATCAATGTGGAATATCTATTCCACAAGAGGAGTGTAAGATTGCGTTCACCCCTAACTGCTTCCTTATAGGTGAATATGAAAATGGATGCCCTTCCAAGTAGAGATAGAACTCGGCAAAGAGGAGTATGGGTATGGGATGGTAAGAGATGCAGCACAGGATAGCACTGAAGACGCCACATGTAAACAACTCACCAACGGTCAGTTGAAGAAATGTAGACCTAAGGCTGGACAAAGATGTCTTAGGAATAATGAACAGAACACAGAAATCGTATTTAATAGGGAGCTACTGACCAATGGAAAAAAGATAAAGAAGTAAAAGTATACTAGCAAATATATATTAAAAAATCACCTGAAGCAGATCCTACAGAGACAAAGAATAAACTATCAAGATGAACATATTCCTTCTGAAAAAAGGACTCCAGACACTAATAACTCACTATACATCCCACTGCTACAATCACTCTCACCACCAGAATGAAACCACCCATGATAGGACTCAAAGTATAATATCAGCATAGCATTAGGAAAGAGATAGAAACAAAGTATGTGCATAAGAATTTTTAGTTCACTAATATTACTTCAATTTCTGTAGCAATTACATCTGGAATTATAATGATTAGACTCTTAAAGACTAACAATAAATTCTTAATCTTATACACAAGGTATGCTTTCTCTTTGCCCATAAACAAGACCTTCAGCACAATGCAAATTGGAGGTGTAAATACTAGTAAATCTGATTTTACTGAAAAATGTTAGTAGAGCTTTCCAACCCTGTTCCCACCATACTCAGATAAAATGGAGAAGGATCTTATGCAACAACCAACAAGCCTTGTCCTTATGAGCAATTTCCTGGATCAATGACAAGATTTGTATAGCCCCTGCAATTACCATTTCCATCTTAGTCAAGCATTTGAACCTTTTTCCACTGAAAAACAGATAAAGGAAGATGATTTAAGGAGTCCCTGATAACCTTATTTTCCATCTACATTTGCATTATGGTAACAAGGAACCCATGCCCAGAAAGAGCATCCGGCAGTAGGCTGAGATCTCAGTATTTCCAAGCAATGTAAACTATCAATTGCAGGAGGGTGTCAAGGGGAAAGACTACATTAGGAAAATAAAATAGAGGTAAAGAATTTGTTTAACAATCAATATTTTGTAATTATATATATAACCGCTTTTCTTACCAGTTTCTATTTTCCATAGTAGAATAAAAAATATATTTTGGGGGGTGGGAAGAGAGTGTTGAGTGCCACTGTTTAACTAGAATTATTTAAATTATACCCTTTTTTTTTTCTTGGGCCGTATTTTTGACTCTGTGTGTGTGCATCAAGTACCAAAAAGAAACATCAATACAGCACCTGAAAGTCTACAAAAGTTGCCACGTGAAGGAAGAAGCAAGAATTCACTCTATGCATTTTGGGATAATGAGAGCAAAAGAAAGTAGAAGTTTTGATTACATTTGAATATTGAAACTTGATAGTTATTCCTTTAAATTTACTATATTTTTCCCCAATTTTGAACAACAAAAAAAGATGTTCTTCAGCAGTTACTTAAATTCACCTGCTGAATTGTGGGTGTTTATACTAATGCAATTGCATTTACAGGCTGTGAAGAACTGCCACTTTCAGAACATGACTTGCCTTAGATGACTCTACTTTTTAAAATGCTAATTTATTTCCAGTGAATCTGCAGAAAGTTCAGACTGACAAGCCGGTTGCTGACATTTACAGTGTAGACACCTAGTTTATTCCACTCCCAGCAACTTTACATTTAGCTCTTTTGAGAGATCTTAAATTTATTGAACACATTAGAAGTTGGAAAATGGGTGTTTCTGAATATTCCTGCTTTTCCAGTGGGAATTGTGTAGAACTGTGCAGTAAATATATTCTTACAGAGATCTGGATATAGTAAGCAATCTTTGTGCTTTTTTCTTTTTTTCTTCCCCAAATGAAGATTGTAAATGAGAAAACAATCAAAAAGCAATAATAAAGTACTAATCTAATTCACATGTATAGGTGGTAAAAGCATCTGCTAGCTTTAACTAAGAAAGTTGAATAACTATTATTAATAGACTTGTAGACTTGGATTTTAT